GGACCCGCAAAAGGTGGAGTTGTGCCAATGGCGCCAGGGTGACGACCCTGCCATAATACGTTCGCCTAGCAGAGACTCGTCTTTGCTGCGTCTGGAAGAAGAAGTAGTAGTAGCAGTAGTAGCAGCAGTAGTAGTAGTAGTAGTAGGAGTAGTAGCAGTAGTTGCAGTCGTCGCAGAAGTAGTAGTAGTAGTAGTAGTAGTAGTAGTAGTAGTAGTAGTTGCAGTCGTAGTAGTAGTAGTCGTAGTAGTAGTAGTAGTAGTAGTAGTAGTAGTCGTCGTTGCAGTAGTAGTAGTCGTAGTAGTAGTAGTGGTAGTAGTAGTAGTAGTAGTAGTAGTAGAAGCAGCAGCAGCAGCAGCAGCAGTAGTAGTAGTAGTAGCAGTAAAAGCAGTAGCAGTACCAGCAGTAGACGGACCAGCAGTAGCAACAGTAGTAGCAGCAGGATTACAGATTTATTCGTCGTCGTCGTCGTGATCGTCGTCGTCCTCCTTCTCACCAGCAGCACCACCATCATCGTCATCACTCCAGCTGCCATGATCAGAAACCTCAAGTCAGAGTTTCGGGATCTTGGGTCTTTGGGGAAGCCGAAAAAACTTTAAGCTAACTCCGAGCCCCATCAACCGTGCAAACACTGCCGCCCCAGAGCATTGGGCAGAAGCCTGGGATCCCTGGCGACATGTCCCAGTCCTGCTCCGTCTCACCCCTTGGGGGTGGAGCCGATCTCTCTTCCACCTCCTTGTCAGGCAGCACACGCAGCACACAGTTGAGAGTTGATGGTTCTTCCTGAATCCTCGCCGGCTGGAGGGCTTTGCATGGGTAAGGTGTCTTTTGTTGCACAGCTCACGTACGTCTGCATCTGCATGCATCTGAGAAGCCTGATCTGTGCAAATTTGTGATGGTCAGGTGCGGTTTAGGGTTTATTGTTGTTGAAAAAAACAGCAGTAGTTCCTAAACTCGATATCTAGGCAGGAGCTCTGATGCTCAAAGCCTGAAGACTGCTTGAGGTTTGCTCATTTGACGTCCCCACAGCACCGTAAAGAGAACGGGAGCCCCGAGCCCCGCGACCTCCAATCAGAAAGCTTGGACAGGCTGACTTTCACACTCCACGGACCGAAGAAGCCTTGCGCTTGGGAATCTCTTCCTCAATGGACAATCCCTTCCCTGAGAGGTGTCAGAAGAAAAGATGCGACCTCAGCTTAAAGACCCGAAGAGAAATCCGTTGTGGGATAATGGTTTTTTGGACGGAGTCAGGTCTTATAAAGTCTCATATCTAAGATGCGCAGTGTGTAACCCAAAAGTCGGCTGCGAGCCTTGAGAAACTGCTCTGGGTTGATCTTTCGAGTCTTTGCCACCTGCGTGACTTCCTCCTCACCTTCTCCGTCTCCTACGACGGCTCAGATGGTCTTGGGATTGGGGCTCAGAGATTCTCAGTTCGGGTTGGGCGCACAGGGGTTCCTGCCCGATAACCCAGGTTTCATGGTCTTGAAGAGTTGGCGAGCCTCATGTCAAAGAAATGAGACGCCGCAAGTCGCTGTCGAAATGGCTTTCGTGGTAGCAAGAGTCGTAGTCATCGTCGGTAACAGGAGGAGGAGGTCGAGCAGGAGCAGGAGTGATAGAGTAGAAGAGCATTTGCAGGAAGAGAAGCATTATTGAAGCCACAGGGGTTCTTGTTGTCCGTGTCCGTGGGTCGTGACTGCCCACGAATGCTGCGGACAACCATACCAAGTGAAATCCTGCTGACAGAAACAGCGCTCTGCTAATCTAAAAAGACTACACGACATGTGCATGAACATACACAAGAATACAAAGACACACGCACAAACATACATATGCCAAAAACAGAAACACAAACAGAAACATGATAACATACACAGACCCATACCATGCCTGTACCTAGAACTATACCTACACCTATCCATCTTCATATGCATGCATATATATATATATATATATGCATATACATATACCAACACATATACGTAGTACACATATACGTCCACATCTAAATACACATGCACATACACATACACATGGAAGAAAAACACATATGCTTATACATATCTGTGAACATATGATCATCCTACCTTCAACCATTGACGGCAAAAGCATTCATTTAACAGAACATATATCGTCCTGCAAATTCTGAAGCTGCTGACAACACAGACATACTGGTACCGTTCCTGGTCTCGTTAACAAACACATTCTCTCCTCCATCATCGCCGCCGTCTCCTTTGTCGTCCCCTTTGTCCTCAAGAAAATGCTCTGTGTATGTCCCACAGGCTTAACTGGTGGGCACATGCTCTGCACAAATGCTTACGCTCTCAACTTAAGTAAACATGCACCATCGACAACAAAACCGAGCGCGATCAATGATTGATGTTCTCTGAATGAATGGGCAGGCAGTTGCTCGTGGTCGTAGTCATCAAGAGGATTGCGGGCCTCTATTCCGAGGCTGTTGTACTTCGTGATGACAACTACCACAACACTCTGGATCATGACGAGGGCAAAGCTTAGTTCTGTGTGAAATGATGCGATTGTGAGCTGCACTGCTTGGAATGATTGAGTTGGAGAAGCCGCACTTAACTGAATTTCAATGCTGGAGCAAAGTCCTCTTCTTCCTTGTTGTCGTCACCGTCCTCATCATCCTTCTTCTCCTCTTTCTTTCCCCCTCCCAGTCCGAACATAGCACCATGCCAGGACTAACCTCAGCTAGAGCTGGACGCCGAGTGCTGACGGTCAGAATTAATTGTACTGAAAGAAGCTAACGCCACCCTCACCTAGAACCATGGCCATGTGACCATGCCTACCACTGCTGTGTGCTGCACCTCAGTGGTCAGGGGTTCCCTACTCCAGACTTTGAATGGCTAACCTGGGCAAATATCAGCGGCTTTTTGTAGCAATGCAGATGCTTTGGCAGGGTTAACCCCCGTACCAAAGTTTTGACCACCGTCTACAACATGTATCAAGGTTTTCTGGAAGATCAAGGCTTCCAGCCATGAACGTGCATCCGAAAAAGTTGACCTTTTGCTGGGTCATCAACACACATCTTCGGTCTTTCGTTTTTGAAACGAGCATCCCTGATGTTGCAAAGCTCCCGCACAAAACACTCCACCCAACTCTGCCATTCTGCCGAGCTTCAAGTGATCAGCATGAAGAGCAACTTGGCTTCGCCGCCGCCAGCTACATCGCACAACTTGCGGATTCAAGGCACGTGGGCTGAACATTCGACGTTTAACCGCGTACTGGCGATGTTGATGGTGCATCTGAGCATGATGATGAGCTTTGTGATTGACCATTACCATCAAGGCTGGCACTATTCAAACAAACATTTTGCTGCTCTGAGGTTTGCGCAAAGCTGTTTATATTATGCACAAGAAGCTGTATCATCTCATGCCACTTTTGTTTCGTGGCTTTTGGCACTTCCAACCTATGCCGCGAAACCCGAGCCCTGGAACCTGGCGGAATGAACATGAGGCGTTAACCCGTATATTGCAATTGCGTGGATGCTGTACAAAGATTTTTTGCGTAACTGTGTTGTGACTTTTGTGCCACCAATTCCTGCTCCGATACTTGGAAGCTTCGCAATGTTTGCATGAGCGCTGTGCTGACTGCGACATGATAAAACCTTGGAACCGCTTGCCCGCCATCGAAGAAGCGGCTGGGAAGGCTTACAAGCTGGTTACCTTGACAAATTATCTGCCATTCTTGCTTCTTAGCAAAGCTGTGGGGGTATCACAATCTGTCACCTGCTGCTGGTGTCGCTTATTGCTGACCTTTTTGCACAGGCTTGCTTTAATCCCGCCTGGACGTGTCGCACCCGTTCTCCGAACAAGGCCAATCCCTCCCTCCCTCCCTCCCTCC